CCCGGGCAGAAGGGTGACGCTGGCGCTCCTGGTCCCCAAGGTCCCTCTGGAGCACCTGGCCCGCAGGTGGGTACAGCTGGGGCACCCCGAAATGGGGGATGAACCCCAAGGGGGTCCCTACCCCAGGGAAATTTGGGGCATCACCTGGCAGGCACGTTGCAGCCCCCTGCCGGCACGTTTCTAACCCATTTTCCTCCTCTTCCCAGGGTCCAACTGGAGTAACTGGTCCCAAAGGAGCCCGGGGTGCTCAGGGTCCCCCTGTGAGTATGGGGGGGTGGGCTGGGGCGGGGGGTGGGGAAGGCTGGGGGGATTGAGGTGCAGCATCTGAGCCGCCTTTCTCCTCTCCTTTCCCAGGGAGCCACCGGATTCCCCGGTGCCGCTGGCCGCGTGGGACCACCCGGCCCTAACGTGAGTCAGGGGGCAGCCAGGATTGCTTGGGAGCAGCCGGGATCATTTGGGAGCAGCTGGGATCGTTTTGGGGCAGCCAGGATCATTTGGGAGCAGCCAGGATCACTTGGGAGCAGCCGGGATCATTTTGGGGCAGCTGGGATTGCTTGGAAGCAGTCAGGATCATTTGGGAGCAGCTGGGATCATTTGGGGGCAGCTGGGATCGCTTGGGAGCAGCCAGGATCATTTGGGGGCAGCCAGGATCATTTGGGGGCAGTCAGGATCACTTGGGAGCAGCCGGGATTGTTCGGGAGCACCCAGAATTGTCCACCACCGGGGCTGGGGGCTCAGGAGATGCTGCTTGCTCCGTGCCGGGGGCCAGGTAGCAGAGGGTCCCTGAGCTAAACAGCCCCCGGCCGGCACCGGGCAGCTCACCAGCCCATAAAAAGTTTTGTTTCTGAGGGTCTTCAAGCACAGGAGCCAACCCGGAGCTCCCGAGCGGCGCCAGGATGCAGGTGATAAAGGCAGAAAAGCCACCCCCGTTTGTACTAATCCCATCTTCTCCCCCTGCAGGGTAACCCAGGCCCCCCCGGTCCCCCTGGCTCTGCTGGCAAAGATGGTCCCAAGGGTGCTCGTGGTGATGCTGGTCCCCCGGGCCGTGCCGGTGACCCTGCTCTCCAGGGCCCTGCTGGCCCCCCTGGTGAGAAAGGTGAAC